GGAAGCCCACATCCTGATCACATCTACCTGGAGACAATCAGAAAGCATAAAAAATATCAAAACACACACTCAATTAAGTATTAATGCCACAGATAAACACTAAATATGTCCAAGAAGCAAAAGCAGATGGACCATATCAGCGCATGTCCAGAAACAAGATAAAATTTCTGAGACCAATGACCTAGAGGTAGACCTTGACTACATTCTGGAGGGAGGGCAGGCCTTGGAAATGTCTGAGAAGGAATTCAGAAAAATTACACTTTACAATGGAGTTGAGAAAAATAAGGAAGAAGTCAGGGAAGCGCTACTGGAATAATCAAATAGGATGGATAAAGCATTGGAAACAATTCAAAACCTACAGAAAGAGGTTCAAATGATCAATAACAGAATATCAGAAATAGACAATACACTGAAAGGGCAAAGGAGTAGAATAGAAGAGATGGAAGGCAGAACTAGTGAGCTGGAAGACAAATCTCTCAATACCGCTAAAATAGAAGAGCAAATAGAAAAAAACATAAAAAAATCTGAAGAAGGTCTAAAATTCATGTTGGACAACATGAAGAAGAATAACTTAAGAACTACTGGCATTCCAGAACAGGAAGAATCACAAGTCCACAGAGGAAATAGTTGAAGAACTACTGGAGAAAATTTCTCTAAAATCCTCAAAAGAGATAAGACAAACATTCACGAAGTTCAACAATCCCCAGGAAGGACAGACCCCAAAAGAAAATCACCAAGACAATGCATAATCAACCTCTCCAAAATCAAAGATAAGGGCACAATCCTGAATGCAGCTAGGGAAAAGAGAAACATTACATACAAAGGCAAGCAAGTTAGATTAAGCTCGGATCTCTCATCAGAAACCATGCAGACAAGAAAGCAATGGGAGACATATATAAAATCCTGAAAAAAGTCAAAAAAGAATCCTTTATCCAACAAAGCTATCAATCAAATTTGATGGTGTAATCAAAACATTCCAGGATAAACTGAAGCTAAGAGATTTTG